AAAATAATACTAGTAAAATTAATATAATAATTATATTTTTTGAACGAATTGTTATTATTAGCATTATATCGTAATAATAAAATCATCTGGACATTATATGGCCATGGTAGAGTTATGCTGCTGCTCTTTAGTACACCAGCACATGCCGTTGACGAGGCCTTTCAATCTTTTTATAGCGGCGCTCAGGCTGGGAGAGGGAGAAGCAGCACGAAGAGCAGGGCTCATGTTCTAACAAGGGGCATGCTGATAGGAGAAGAGAACAGAGCTGCTTCTCCTTCACTGTCCACTCACAGGCTGGGGGAGGGGCAAGACCTAGTTGCATGACCTAAATACAGTAGAGAGGTTTCCGGTCTGCAGGCCGTGCTGTGTGAATCTCAGGACTGGCTGGACAGAACTACAAATGCTCTGGCAGATAGCTCCCCTATATGTATTGAGCTGTGTGCCTTAGAACTATGGGGGTCAGTGTGCTTTTCCCCATAGTTCTCCTCAGGGTCACGGGAGGACACAAACTAGCGTCCTCCCGTCACCCTAAGCTCAGTATATAGGGATCTACAGCTCGCGGTATACTGAGACGCCGCAGGCGGGACCGATCCCGACATTGCTGTCTGGATCCGCCCAGCTGCGTGATTGACAGCTGGCTCTGCCTATCTAGCGGCAGAGCCAGCTGTACCCGCCCCCTCCCCCGTCCGTTCCGCCAGTCAGCGGTGGAGGATCGGAGACGGGGAGGGGGTGGAATCCCTGCAGGGAGCCGTGAGTGACAGTCACCTCTCTCTGCAGGGATAGATCGAGAAGTGAGCGAGCGGCGGTATGTGTTCGCTCACCTCCCGATCTATTGAGCCGACCTGTGACAGTCTCATGGTCACACGTCGGCTGGAACTATGAGGATGAGTGATTTTCACTCGCCTCATAGTTCTCCTTCAAGCCGGGAAGGAAGAGATAGCGGCTGGTGGGTGTGTTGGGGGCCGTACCGTGTAAATACATTGCCGTGTTTCACCAACGTTTGTCCAATGCGAATGTGCGGCACGCAGCTAACACCATGCGTTTCTCCATGGGTCTCTTTGCACTTCAGATAATAAATGGAGATATGTATCCACCAACAGTGATCGACGCTCCCGTCCACATGATCTACCCGGAGAGCATCCCCAAGGAGAAGCAGCTCGCCATGGGGCAGGAGGTGTTTGGGCTCCTCCCCGGACTGATGATGTACGCCACGCTTTGGCTCCGCGAGCACAACCGGGTCTGCGACGTCCTGAAGGAGGAACACCCCACGTGGGGGGACGAGCAGCTCTTCCAAACCACCAGGCTGATTCTCATCGGTGAGACTCCACGCATGGGAACGTTTCAACTTCAATGCTTCGGAAGCCCAATTGTACCTTCACCGCGCCACGATCCGGGATCGGGCTCGGAGCCCAGTAGCTGAAACAGCGGGCAAAGTCGTGGTGCAACAGGCCGGGTTCGGCACACAAGCAGAGGGTAGTGGTGGAGGAGCAGGCAGAAGCGTAGTCAGAGATCAAGCCGAGGTCAGGAGCCAAAGGTATCAGGTATGAAGCAGAAGACGATGAGAGTAGTCGGTGAATCAGCAACCAATGGTCGGTACACGGGTAGAAGGATGAGCGGACTGTATCACAGGAGGAGCAAGGAAGCAAGATTATGGCCGGAGCACAATAATCTGGCAAACAGGAAGTGCAGAGGCGTGGCTTAAATAGGAAGTTCAAGAGGGAGGAGCTAGGAGTTCAGAGTTCAGCAGAAACTAGGTTTAGCTGAGGATTACACAGGAGGTCCGGCAAGGAGCTATCCAAGGTTCTAAGGTGGCTAAGCAGGTAGAACCACCACCAGCTAAGGCAGAGGCCCTGGTTTCAGATCCAGATGGCCAAAGAGGGTGGAGCTGTTGTATGAAGGCTTTACTGGCTTTGGATGGGAGGCTTTTGGTTCCCTTAGTCCCTCTTCACCATACCATGTAGGATTATACAGTCCCACTGGTTCCCAAGCCCCATCATAGAAGCCATACGCTGCACTGATGATGGCCAAAAACAGAATAAAGCTGCTCTGGGAAGGTTTTACTGGTTTGGATGGGAGGCCTTTGGTGCCCTTTATCCCTTCCCACCTGTATGGTTATACAGTCCCAATGGGTCCCAATGGTTTCCATACTCTGCACCGAGGATGGTCAAAAAGGGGTAACTTTAAAAAGGATCGGCTTTGCTGGTTCAGATGGGAGGCTTTTTGATTCCTTTAGTCCCTTCTCACTTGCATGGTTGTAGTGTCCCATTGGGGCCCAAGCCCTGCCCATGGAGGCCACGGTTTCCATACACTGCACTGATGAAGAAGAAAGCTGTTCTAGGAAGACTTTACTGGTTTGGATGAGAGGCCTTTGGTTCCCTTTATCCCTTCTCACCATAACCTGTATGGTTATACAGTCCCGTTGGGGCCACAGCCCTACTCCATGGAAGCCGTGGTCTCCATACACTGCACTGATGATGGCCAAAAAAAGCTAGGAGTTCAGAGTTCAGCAGAAACTAGGTTTAGCTGAGGATTACACAGGAGGTCCGGCAAGGAGCTATCCAAGGTTCTAAGGTGGCTAAGCAGGTAGAACCACCACCAGCTAAGGCAGAGGCCCTGGTTTCAGATCCAGATGGCCAAAGAGGGTGGAGCTGTTGTATGAAGGCTTTACTGGCTTTGGATGGGAGGCTTTTGGTTCCCTTAGTCCCTCTTCACCATACCATGTAGGATTATACAGTCCCACTGGTTCCCAAGCCCCATCATAGAAGCCATACGCTGCACTGATGATGGCCAAAAACAGAATAAAGCTGCTCTGGGAAGGTTTTACTGGTTTGGATGGGAGGCCTTTGGTGCCCTTTATACCTTCCCACCTGTATGGTTATACAGTCCCAATGGGTCCCAATGGTTTCCATACTCTGCACCGAGGATGGTCAAAAAGGGGTAACTTTAAAAAGGATCGGCTTTGCTGGTTCAGATGGGAGGCTTTTTGATTCCTTTAGTCCCTTCTCACTTGCATGGTTGTAGTGTCCCATTGGGGCCCAAGCCCTGCCCATGGAGGCCACGGTTTCCATACACTGCACTGATGAAGAAGAAAGAAGGAAGCAAGATTATGGCTGGAGCACAATAATCTGGCAAACAGGAAGTGCAGAGGCGTGGCTTAAATAGGAAGTTCAAGAGGGAGGAGCTAGGAGTTCAGAGTTCAGCAGAAACTAGGTTTAGCTGAGGATTACACAGGAGGTCCGGCAAGGAGCTATCCAAGGTTCTAAGGTGGCTCAGCAGGTAGAACCACCCCCAGCTACAGCAGAGGCCCTGGGTTCAGATCCGGTTCCTGACACCATGGCAAAGGGACTTATGATGTAGGTCTCAATGGAGAACAAGCGCAGTAATGTTGCTGCACTTCTTCTCCATTGATCGCTTCCTCCAGCCCCATAACCGATGGTATGGATGTCTGTAAAGACCTGGGACTGGAAAAACAGCCTACAGGAGCCTGTGCATTGCACTGCCAGCTACAGCAGAGGTCCTGGGTTCAGATCCAGATGGCCAAAGAGGGTGGAGAAGAAGGCTTTGGATGGGGGGCTTTTGGTTCCCTTAGTCCCTCCTCACCATAACATGTAGGATTATACAGTCCCACTGGTTCCCAAGCCCCATCATAGAAGCCATACGCTGCACTGATGATGGCCAAAAACAGAATAAAGCTGCTCTGGGAAGGTTTTACTGGTTTGGATGGGAGGCCTTTGGTGCCCTTTATCCCTTCCCACCTGTATGGTTATACAGTCCCAATGGTTTCCATACTCTGCACCGAGGATGGTCAAAAAGGGGTAACTTTAAAAAGGATCGGCTTTGCTGGTTCAGATGGGAGGCTTTTTGATTCCTTTAGTCCCTTCTCACTTGCATGGTTGTAGTGTCCCATTGGGGCCCAAGCCCTGCCCATGGAGAGGCCACGGTCTCCATACACTGCACTGATGAAGAAGAAAGCTGTTCTAGGAAGACTTTACTGGTTTGGATGAGAGGCCTTTGGTTCCCTTTATCCCTTCTCACCATAACCTGTATGGTTATACAGTCCCGTTGGGGCCACAGCCCTACTCCATGGAAGCCGTGGTCTCCATACACTGCACTGATGATGGCCAAAAAGGCTGAAACTGTTCTAAGGAGGCTTTACTGGTTCTTCCAGGAGGTTTTTCGGTTCCTTCAATCCCTACTCACCATAACCGGTTGGGTTTACTGTCTTCCTAATCTAATATAAGTTCATTTTGTTAAGTCCCAAGTGTTGAAGTCCATGCCATTGGGTGCTCCTTGCAGCCAGGACATTGAGACCTAGGACCTGTCATGGAGTAGGCAGAGCCGGGCCCATCATTTGTTATTTCGGGGGAGGGGGGCGTATTGGCCTGATGTAAAAAGCTACGCTCATATCCATTGAACCTCCACCCTGCACACGGTATCTGCCTTTCCCGTTCTGATATCTTCTTCTGTTCCTTGCAGGAGAGACCATAAAAATTGTCATTGAGGACTACGTCCAGCACCTCAGCGGGTACTTCCTGAAACTGAAGTTCGATCCGGAATTGCTATTCGGGGTCCAGTTCCAGTACCGGAACCGGATCGCCGTGGAGTTCAACCATTTGTATCACTGGCACCCCCTAATGCCGGACAGCTTCTCCATCATGGGACAAGACTACAACTACAGTCACTTCATCTACAACTACTCCATGCTGACGGACTACGGCGTGGAAGCTCTGGTGGAGTCCTTCACCAAGCAAATTGCCGGAAAGGTAAGCAACCCGCGGCAAGGTTCATTCCACGGCATCACTCTGCATACCCTGCAACCATACGAGCCCCTGTCCTCAAGGAGCTTACCATCTAAGGTCACATGCTAGGACCCAACGCCCCACCAACATGTCTTTGGAGGCCATTCAAGCACAAGGAGGACACGCATGGAGTTTGCATGTTCTCCTTTTGCTTGAATGGGTTCCAAAGACATGTAGATGGAGTCCTGGCCAAACCTGGATTCCAACCACGGATTCTGTTACTGGAGCTTTAACCACTGAGCCACTCTGCATAACTGTGTGCTTCCA